TATTTAGTTAGTTGAATTTTTTATAATTTGTTTGTTGGTTGATGAACAATTTTCAAATTTATTTTGAGAATGATATTGAAAATTTTAAGTCAAAAGTCATAATTTAACGGTAAAAAACCAAAATTTCTCTTTTGTTATTTTTTTTAAAAGAAAAAATATCACTACAATTAATACAAAAACAAACGGTTCTAGGATTATTCAACAAAGATTACGTAGTTTAAAATTCTATTTTTGATTAAAACCCTCCCACTATGTTCGATAGACTTTTTAATGGAGTAACAATCAACTTTGATAGATTTAAGATTAAATTAAGAAAGAAAAGGATAATTAAAATAATAGATTTTAGCCCATCTAAGAGCATAATGCCATTTCAACGAGCTGGAATTCAGGTATGCATCTTTTTGGATACATTTCCATGAACTACCATTTGCTTGTTTCTCTAGGAAGACAGCTATAGCTTTAGAAAATCTGGTAGGGAAATTTGAAAAGCTAGATTCCGATGAGGACGGGAAATGCTGGGGAAAAACTCTTCGAGTTAGATCTCAAATTGATGTTAGCAAATCCTTACGTAGAGGAGTAATGATAAAGATCGGTGCGATGGCGGATGAAAGATGGATACCCATAACATACGAAAAGCTCCCAGATTTTTGTTATGGTTGTGGTAGACTTGGCCATGTGATAAAGGACTGTGAGACCAATGATGATGAAGGTGATGAACTACAATATGGTGCCTGGTTAAGATCGGGACCAAATCAGCCACGAAAAGGCAATAGATCAGAAGGACGTAGAGAAGCTTTTCGAGGCAGAGGCCGTGGAGGTAGTAGGAAATACCAGTGGAGATTTGAGGAGGAAGAGCTGGAAGAACAAACAGATCAGGTGACGGAAAATCCAACAGTCGGAGAGGCTGAAGGTCTGGCGGCGAAGATCCCTATCGGTGAGGATGCAACGACCGAAAATGGAATAAATGGCAAAACGGAAAGAGAGGAAAATGCGGAATCATATATTATCAACGTTGAAAATGGGGGACAAATTCCTCATTAATTGCTAAGGTGGAACAAGAAAGTTGCACAAGTAAAGGAAAGGAAAAGTTACCTACGGATATCGGATTAGTCAAGCAATTAAATGAGGGTATTAATATGGGCATAAAAGAGAGAGATATGCGTGAGTCCTTTAAGGCAAATGTTGGAAATCAAGGAAGTAATTTCTTTATGCCAAATTCACTAGTGGTTGAGGACAATTCTTGTGGAAACGAAGTGGCTAATATAGAATTGATTGTTAAGAATGGAAATGAGAGTGGTGATACAGAACAAAGGAAAAAATTAATGAGGACATGGACGCGGCAACAAAGGAAAGGAAAAGACAAAGTGGAAGAAAATGAAGCAGTGGAGGACAGGAAAAATAAATTGATTAGAAGAAAACACCAAATTGAAGTAGAAACAATTGAGTTGGAGAATAAGAGGAGGTGTATTGGAGCAACAAAACAAGATTCTACAATAACGGTGGAGGCTGCGAGACAGTCCCGCCGAACACAATGAAAATCTTAAGTTGAAATGTTCGGGGATTGGGGAATCCTCGAACATTAAGAGCTCTACGTCATATAGTGAGCAGAAATAATCCCCAATTGGTTTTCTTAATGGAGACCAAATGCCGCAATAGGATGGATGATACAGTGAAGAAAGAGATAAATTTTGATTGTTGTATAAATGTGCCGAGTAATGGAAATAGTGGCGGTTTGATGCTTCTTTGGAAAAACGAGACAGACGTCCACGTAATGTCTTATTCTCAGGGGCACATTGACATTTATATTAAAGAAAATAATCAGCGTTGGAGGTTTACTGGAGTTTATGGCCAACCCGTGACGGAGAGGAGAGGAGAGACTTGGGAGCTTCTGAAGCGACTCAATAGCATTTCTGATATGCCATGGATTTTGGGTGGWGATTTCAATGAGATAACCATGGATTCTGAAAAAGAAGGAGGTGCTGGCAGAAGATTAAGTCAGATGGAGGACTTTAGAAATGTAATCGATCACTGTGGGTCGCTAGATGCGGAAGTGGCGGGAGATAAATTTACTTGGTATAAACAGTTTCGTGGTGAGACGATTTGGGAGCGTTTGGACCGGTTCTTGCTGAATGTGGAGTTGGACACTTTATGCTCTTCTTTTGTTGTGAGGCACCTGGATTTTCTCGCCTCAGATCATAGACCGATACTTGCCGATTGGGAATGGTGGAACACGGTCAGTCAACAAGGAAGAAGATGGAAGCCTAGTCGTTTTGAGGAGGGTTGGACGAAGTTTGAGCACTGTAGAGAGCTTATTAGGAGAAATTGGCAAGATATAGAGGGGGACAGTGTTGTTACCTTCAATTTAAAGCTAGGGAAGTGTTTACATGATTTAAAAAGGTGGAACAAGGAAAGATTAGAAGGGTCCATTAAAGGTGCAATTGCTAGGAAAGAGGAGGAAATTCAAGATATTATGAACAGAAGGGAGACAAACTGGAGAGCAGCCATGATGGGTGCAGAGAAAGAGCTTGAGCATCTCCTCGAAGAAGATGAAATGTACTGGAAACAAAGAGCTARAGAAGATTGGATTATATGGGGGGACAGAAATACAAAGTGGTTCCATATTAAAGCTAGCCAGAGAAGGAAGCAAAACATAATTAAAGGGTTGGACTGGAGAAACGGGGGATGGACCGATCAAGATGAGGAAATGGGGGAAATTGCTACAGAGTATTTTAAGACTCTTTTTTCTACTAAGAATGCCTCTGCTGAAGATATGGGGAAAATTCTCAACTCAATTTCTATTAAGATTAGTGATGAGGATAATGCTCAACTAATAAAGCCTTTTGTGAAGGAGGAAATTGAGAGGGCACTAAAAGGTATGCACCCTACGAAGGCGCCCGAACCAGATGGATTGCAGGCAATTTTCTATCAGAAATATTGGGATATTGTGGGGGAGGAAACGACCAATCTGTGTTTGAAGTTCTTAAATGGTCAGTCTAAGCTGGGGATCCTTAACAAAACATTTATTGCTTTAATCCCAAAAAAACAGGAACCCTCAGATATGAAAGATTTTCACCCTATAAGTTTATGTAATGTGATTTACAAGTTTATGGCAAAAAGTCCTGACTAATAGGTTGAAACAAGTTCTTGATAAGGTTATTTCCCCCAACCAATCAGCATTTGTGCCAGGAAGATTAATTACAGATAATGCGACGATTGGGTTTGAGTGTATTCATGCAATTAACAATAAAAGAACAGGGAAAGATGGAGTGGTCGCTATGAAGTTTGATATGAGCAAGGCGTATGATCGAGTCGAGTGGGGGTACTTGAGGGCAGTTATGGAGAAATTGGGGTTTTGTAGTAGATGGATTTCTTTGATAATGGATTATGTTGCATCTGTTAGCTTCTCAGTCATTCTTAATGGGTTTCCTAGAAGGAATTTTTTTCCTCAAAGAGGTCTTCGCCAAGGCGATCCTTTATCCCGTACCTTTTTCTCCTTTATGCAGAAGGTCTTTCCACACTCCTTAATAAAGAGGAACAACTTCGAAATTATTCATGTTTGTGTATAAATAAATATTGCCCTTTTATAACCCATTTGTTTTTTGCAGATGACAGTTTGATTTTTTTCAAAGCTACCCATCGAGATTGTCAAGCTATTAAAAATGTTCTTCACTTCTATGAGAAAACGTC